GTTCTTCCTGAGATTCAGGTGGAATCTCTTTTCCTGTCGTTTGAAACCATTGCTCCTTGTCCTAGTGTCTGGAGCCATGGAAAACAAACCTGCCCCTTTCTCGACATGAAATCCCTTCAAATATTTAAACATGGCTATCATGTCCCCGCTTAACCTTCTTTTTGGAAGGCTAAACATTACCAGCTCCCTAAATCACTCCTCATAGGACATGCAAACTTCCCTTGCTTTTTCCTTTGTTTTCTTTGCATTTCTGACCTTCCCCCTTTGTTCTCTGTGCATTTCCGATCTTCTCCATTTGTTTTCTGTGCATTTCCTATGGGTCTTGCACATTTGATTGCTTTTATTCCACCCCCCCCTCACACCTTTGGCCGGAAGGGATTAATCGTGTTTCCAATGAGTCTCGCAGTGATTTTTTTTTTGGTGATTTTTTTCCCTTCGGCTGGAATGGATTAATTGCATTTCAATGCATTCCTATGGGAAATGGTGCTTTGACTTATGACCATTTAGAGTTACGTCCATCTTCTGGAACGGATTATGGTCGTAAGTGGAGGCACCACTGTACTGTAAATCTTCCGTCAGTCATAGCTATAGGGTGACTATAGCAGTGGGTAACAGAGAAAGCCTCGTCTGATGCTTCACATCACAGTCCTTCACTGCAAAATCATCACCTTTCGACCTAAACCCAGCCTTTAGGCCTGCTTTGTCTAATCTAATGTTTCTCTGTATATAAACCCTAACACAAAATGATGAAATAAATGATCTGTAAAATAGAGGGAAGAATGAATGCCTTATTGTCACTCAAATTTGAGCCTCCTTTTCCTGGCAAATTTCTCATACTTTTAACTCTTACACATTATAATAAAAGTGGTGTGAGTTGTAAATGGTTATCTGACCTCCAGTTGGAGTTCTAAAGTATTTCAGGTTGTAGTTAATATGTAACACACTTCAGTCTCAGTAAAAATTCCAGTGCCCTCCCTGGAAGAAACATTAATTTCCCCCTGAGTGAGGCCAATCTGCTGACAACTAGAGCATGTCAATTGTTGTTGTTGTTGTTGTTGTTTCTACTTATATGCCACCCTATAGTGCTAGAGCACTCTCTGGGCAGATTACACCATAATTATGCAAACAAAGCTTTGCCTTGCAACAAGATAACTCATTTTACCAGCCTCAGAAGGATAGAAAGCTGAGTCAACCTTGATTTGGCTGCATAGATCCATCAGGATCAAACTGAAATTCTAAAGACAGCAATCAGACAATGCCTTTGCTGGAGCAAACAAACCCACCCTCAGAGTGGTCCTATACGGACCTTTCTGAGTCCCTATCAGGGGCTTCTACTTTT